CAGAACTGTTTGTATTGCTTGAATGCATACATGTTTGGTATTTGTAATATTGATCAATACAATATTTTACTGTTGAAGCCTCTCATACGCATTTTTTAAATATTTAACAGTATTATCATTATATATAATGAAAATTTCTTTTCAGGGGAGGGTAACGAATTATAGGCCACCATCGTTAATCAACTGGACAGTCACCGTAAATGGCATAATAGCAATATTCGAAAACATTGGAACAAGGCAATGTAAATTTTTGCAAATGCAGGTGACTGAACCAAGACCCTATTGAAAACTTCTTTGATCAAATAATACAGCAGGGTCTACGAGACACAAATCCTAATTGTAGTCACTTTAAAAACCACTTCAAAACATTAATCAGAAACAACTTTTCAGGCCGCCACTCAGAATCTGCCAACTGTGAAGATGATGAATCAAAAAATGTCTTAGTGGCAGTAAAACAATTCATCACTCAAGATGAGGTAGTGCCTACAAGTACGGATTTGGGTCCACTTCCAAAAGAAGTACCTAACCAAGCACTGCAATGTATAAGTAAACTTAGTTTAGGATATGGGAGCGGTTTTATGACCAAGTATGTAAAAAAATATATTTCATCTTGTGAAGTTTGCATTAAAGATGTATTCTCGGAACATCCTGTAGACGAATGGCACGCCCTCACGTCTGAAAAAGAATATTTAAAAGCTATGCCTGCAAAATTAAAATACCGTCATCATAATACAACAATTTGCATATATATATATATATATATATATACAATATTGTTATGTATATGGTGCCGCAGCTAGGTTACAAGATAAATTCCGTACAACTTTCAATTAATTTTGTTTTATCAAAGATTACTTTACCACTCAACTGCCCTATCCATAGACAGGTATTAAATGCAACATTGATCAATATGTTTATCATCTTTCTGTGTCAGCATCAGTAGAGCTCTGAGTGGTAGAGACTTGCGTTCATCCAACAATGATCCTGTCAACAGGAAGGCTAAAGAAATAGAAGGTACAGAAGATAGCCTAGGTTGCCCTGGTACTGCTCATAATATTATACTATAACTATCTAAAACTGTAGTGACTCATCGATGTTCACGTGAACATCACTTAACTACCAGTAGTCGGCTGTTCATAGGCGGGGTATGAATGTTTAACATGGGTGAACTAGATTTGTCACATGCTTAATAAAGAGTGGTTTGAAACATATTGTAAGTCAAATATTTGGGAATTACCTTTATTCATCGTCGCTTCCACTTACATCTGACAGTAGTAAACTGTCGCTATCGCTTTCCTCGTTGAAATTGACTATAACTGGCTCTATGATGGTGTCGATGTGATGGTCAAGCTGCCACATTTTTGTTTCGTCCTTCACAACATGACGGATAGCATTCTGCCAAGCTTCGGGCGTTACTAGCTGTATGGAAGTCTCAAGTAAAACCTTAACGTCTGGTAATTTGAAGGTTGTGTTATGGCGCGCAATATAACCCTTCACTTGAGCCCAGATGAGCTCTATTGGGTTCAGTTCACAGTGGTAGGGCGGTAACCGCAGCACAGTGACACCACATTGACGGGCAATCTCATCAGTCACGTAACTAATGTTCGCAGGTTTGTGCTGTTTATTTTTTTCATACAATTCCGCTTTCACACATGAATGGTCAAACGGGATTCCTTTTTCGCGCAACCATTGCTGCATGTCACTTTTTCTCGATCCCATAGTCGGTACACACGCTCGACGACTATGGTAGGAAGCATTATCCATGACGATCACAGAGTTGGGCTCAACTCGCTGAAGCACCCCTTGAAACTAGCTCTCGAAGCAGCTGGCATTCATTTCGTCATGGTAATCACCTCCTTTCTTAGAGACGAAAATCAAGTCACACTCTTCTAAAAAGCCACTATCGCTACCAATATGAGTTACGATCGATCTTTGACCTTTCCCTGACGGTCCACGAAGACCTGTTGACAAACCTTCAATGCTTGCTTGTCGGTTACTCACTACGTTTTTGTCTAACCAGGTTTTTTTAACTGTGTGACCTGCATTTACCCATGTTTGGTCCAAATAATAGATTTTTCTGCTTTGTCGCCTATATTCAATCATTTCGCGTAGGTATTTTCGACGCCAGGCGACTATTTCAGGTCTCTCTATCAATACTGACTTCCGATTACGCGTTTCGTAACGAAAATTAATTTCGTGCAAAGATTTCCTCATTACCTCGACGCTCATTTGGGGTATAATATCATTTTCCTTGATCGCTGCATGTACAGCCTTGAGGGATGGTATCTCATTCCTAAAGAAGAATGAATGTACGGTTCGCCTTAACGCCATTTTGCTATCGTCATCCAATTTAACGGCCTTTCGTCCCTTCAAATGAAACTTTGGATCAGTAGTAGCTCCAGTTTTCTTCTTTTCGTGCACCACCCTGCGAATGGTCCACTCTGGAACGCCTGTCATACTTTCACAACGCGCGAGTGCATCTCCCTGCGACATAGTTCTGTTCAGATAATTGTACACGTTGAGCACGATTTCTTTCGCGTCCCTCTTCAGTGCTTTACGAAGCCGACTACTTGTTCCCTGGCTTTCAGTACTTCCACTCGTGCCATTTGTACTCTCCATGGTTAAGTATAACCAAAACAGTAACCACAGAAACCACAACAATAACAATCACACAACAATTTTTATAAAAACACACAATATGCGATCGCTCAACGAAACACGTTCCAATGCGTTGCCGACGCCTATGAGTCTGCCGGTCGAGGCGCGTCTTTGATTTCATTGGTTCTACCGGCGGAGAACAATCAGCCATTATTTCCATCTCTGTCTGTGCTGTTGACCACCGCAAAGCCACAGAAACGACATATGTCGTACGCTATATGGCTGTACTGGAAGGAAGCCGGGATCGAGCTCTGATCACGTGTTGATCACGCGTATGAGTCATTACAGTTTTAAATAGTTGTAGTATAGTAATGTTGAACGTACCAGCGTCCAAGACTGACTGCCAGAGCAGTGGCGCGGAACCGCTTCTCCTTGACGGTACTCCCGCGACGTTGCCCTGCTTCCTTGTACGTATATGCTTGAGACAGTGTACATAGGAATTCACATACACTACAGTGTCATTTATTCTTACTTGTTGAATTGCGAAAATTTAGAACGTCTACATATCCCAGTGGATCTAACGTCCTCCCAAAATTAAAACACAATTCCAATTACTTATCCTGTTATTTGAAATATTGCGCTCACGGTAATAATACATTTTAATATATTTTCAACTCATCTTTTCAAGCGTGTATCACCATCTTACACTCGTACACTCATATGAGTAACACTTTTTCCAGAACAAATTTAATCCAGCATTTTGGGAATTAGGATGCGGTTTTACCGATCGTCCCTCGTATACACTATACCTGAAGTTTGACAATGATGTTTACATTTCCACATTCCTTCGCGACAATTGCCTGTCATCTGTCGACGCATCACTCTTCGCAGGGGTATCACGTAACTTTAAAAGTGACATTATACCAATTTTTTTTGACATTATGCTGGTTTTTTTTGACATTATGCTGGTTTTTCGCCAAGACGTTGATTTAGTACTAGCGATTCACACTAGTCGTGAACTCGTTTGTAGTTGTACGTGTTGCCTAAACGTCATGATCTGTGAGTTTGGCTATGATGTGATGTATCAAGTGCTTCAGAGATGGCATTATATTCTAGATCTAAGCTGTAACTTGTATACTATAGACTACATTTGGAAGGAAAAGGCAGTGCATAGGTACATAGTGAGGATGTGCGTGCTAATAATATGTGTTAATGGTAATTCCATTGGTTTCTTGTCTCTAATAGACTTACTTGAGATGTATTCAAAAGTTGAAATTAGTTGCGCATCCACTTTTTATTATTCAGCCAGGAAATTATAGCTATAGAGAAAAAAAACTTTCAATCAATCAACTTTTTGTCATTGTTTAATAGCTTCATCAGGATTTTCTCCAGAAAAAAAACATTTCAGGAAGATGGAAATACGATTTTGTAGTAGCAAACACAAAGATTCAATCACATCAAGATTGATATATCACGATGAATATCTTACTTCTAAAATCTTAATATGGCAATGAACTCTATACAGTTAACACTAGTTTAAACCAATACAAGGGAAATCAATAATTCACTGCCACTATCTTCCAAGGAAAAATATGTTTTGAAGAAGAATGGCTAGATTGAAAAGTAATTAGAATGTACTGGTTCTACATTTGAATTGCTAATATCTTGTATGAAATATAGTAAATAAGTGTGTACAAAAACTTTTTAAAATTAACATTTAAACTCGGTTTTCTATTATTAGGTGTCAGAATTCAGGAGAATTAGCAATGAGTTATTCTTGGGATGGTCATAAACAATAGCTGCAATCCAAGAAACTACTCCTAGCCAGATGTGCATTAGGTACGTAGGTATTAACAGTTTTTATTTTACAGCTTCTACAACTATATTGTACGTAGGGTTACCAGGTAACCTGGACTGTATTGGGAGGTCTGAATTTGAGGCAGGAATTTAGGCGTAGGACATTTAGTAGCCTCAGTTTCATAAAAAAAAATGTTGAAATTACAAATTGCTCTTAACGTTTTTAATTCGGTTCAGCTACTTACTAGATGAAAAAACTATTTTTCCTTCATGTTGCAACTTCTGATGTGACAGCCGAAATTTTCATCGTAATCAACCATATCCAAGCAGAGCTTCACATTAAAACTAAGGGTGCAAAAAAATGTATGGAAAATAAACAGTGGTCGGAAACTGTTGAGTTTGATAAAAAAATACCTGATCTTCTGCTGTATGCATTGTCTAAAAATAACTCCTTTTGTACCTATATGAATTGTGCATTAGTCTAATGAAAAATGTCCTTCATATTCTGCTCCTCCCCTTGGAAATTGGCATTATGCAATTTTCAAATTTAAACCTGGCAACCCTAAATGTGTGTCAATTGTTTACCAATAACTCTATGTTTTTAGACGCCGACCATATTCCTTCATGTTGGAGTATGAAAGCATGAGCATCATTAAGAGATGGTTAGTCAGAGCCAAGGAGAGGTCAAAAAAATCAGGAACTGTAGTTATAAAGAGTTACATACATTTAGATTATAAAAATATGTGTATACTCATGTTTATAAGTATTTACACCTGGTGTTTTTATTCAAATGTGTGTAATTAGACAGCTCTTGAAGCTGACTTAAAAAATGTTTAGTCATTACATTGAAAGAATCATTAACTTTTAAATCTAAAATGCATTATTAATTAAACTACTGCTTTGATGCCTTCAGGAACGTCTACAGGCAAATGAAGAAAAGAAAATACCAATATAGGTGGGTATCGCCAAAGCCAGTTCCATTTTCATAGGTTGAGTGCCGGCTTTAGAGATACTAACTGCGTTGATTTCCGAATGTTGACCTTACAATTATTTATTTGGTGGAAAAGGCATCCTATGGATTGTCTCCCCCGTGCCAGAATCACTACTTGCAGAGTTCTTGTGATTTCGTTACACATACTTTTCGATTGATAAAGCTAGTCTTAAAATCACTGACAGTTTTCAAGAGAGCGCGAGAATTTACCAACATTCGCAGAGGTTGCGTATTCATGAAGGCTGACAAGTTGTATAATTATTTTGTAAAAACGTAGTCAATTACGTATGAAACGGATCTGTTGGCTGATTTCTGGTAGGTCCCCATTTCAGGCGGCTCATTGAACCTCCGCTTCGCCGGCAGCAATCGAAATTTTTCTAAATCAAATAATATGTATGCTTTTTTCTTTTAATTTATTTTTTTGAATTAAAATAAATACTTTTTCAATCATTTTTCATTCCCATAACGTGCATCTAACATTTGAAGAACAACAATAACATATCTGGGAAGTGTGAGGGAGCCTCATAAGAAAATTAAATTCTCTAAGTCACTTCAAGAAAAAATAGATCAATTGAATAACCTAGCATGGCTGCGTAAAGAGATTCAAGCTACTAATTTGGAAACAAAATTTAAATCTTTAAGAAAAGAGGTTGATAAGACTATTCGTGATGAAAGGATTAGTTACTATCACTCTATAATCAGCAAATCTTCAAACAAACAGAAAACTACTTGGAATATTGTCAATTCAATAAAAGGTAAACAAAAGAATGCAGTTATTACAGAATTAGTCTGCGATAACGTAACTATAACCAACCCTACTGATATCGCCAACTTTTTTGGAAAATATGTATCCACTGTAATTGGCAAGAAAATGGCCAAAAATTTTACCGTTTTGTCGGATTCCTGCACTACTGGTGAAACAGCCAAACAATCAATGTTTTTCACCCATGTCACTACTGATGATGTTATATTAATTTGTGATAAGTAATATGCCAGACAAGAAATCTACAGGGCCTGATGAAATTCCAATCTATTTAGTAAAACAGAACATGGATATCTTTGCCCCAGTATTAGCAGACATCATTAATGAATCGGTTGCTGCTGGTAAATTTCCAACATCTCTTAAACTGGCATCGTTAATTATGATATTTAAAAAAGGTGAAAATTGTGATGTTGAAAGTAGCCAATCGCGCTATTAAGTATTTTCTCGAAAATCATCGAAAAAGTGGTTGCAATGAAAATTGTAAATTACTTTCTTAAATTTGCTATTATCACATATGCTCAACATGGTTTCAGGGCAGGCTACTCAACTGAAACAAGCATTATCGAGTATGTTCAGTATGTTTGTGATAAACTTGATTTAGGTAATTACGTAGTGAGTATCCAATTTGACTTGTCTCAGGCCTTTGATTGTGTAAGTTCGTCATTTGTGGCCGATAAACTTCATCATGTTGGCATTCGCGGATGTTTGAATCAATGGGTAGTTAGCTTTTTAGAGAATAGAAAATTTTATGTTACTGTCGCTGATAAAAAATCTGATGAATTCAATTTAGATTGGGGCACATCTCAAAGCAGCGTCCTTGGACCACTTATTTTCTCGATTTTCATAAATGATTCGACTGCACACTTATCCTACGGAAAATTACTTTTGTATGCAGACGACACAAATATCATTTTAGCTGACTCATCGCAAGATCGTCTTCAAGAAAAAATTAATGATTCGGTTAATGAGTTCAGTCAATGGTGCTTCAAGAACAGACTAATAATAAATACAAAAAAGACCGTTTCAGTTGAATATTTTATGAAACCAAAAATTCGGTCAAATTTTAATTTCAGTCTTCAATGCAAGACAGTTGTAACTTCCAAAAAAACTGTTTTTTTAGGTGTAAGCTTTGATTGCAATTTAAGATGGACAGAGCAAATTGATTCTGTATGTAAGAAACTTGGAAAAAGTCTATATTTAATACTTACGCTAGGGAGGATGTTAAACACCTCAGCATTAATGGATGTCTACTATGCATGTGTACACTATGTCATTTCATATGGCATTACTGCGTGGGGCCAGGCTAGTGAAATCTCTAGAGTGTTTGTCTTACAAAAAAGAATCATTCACATTATATTTAAAATACGGTCCAGATCCTCCTGTCGTGAGATATTTGTTAAACACAAAATACTTACAGTAGCATGTATATATCTTTATAATCTTTTAACATATATTTTTCAGCACAGAAATGATTATCTTAAGCATACTGACATCCATGACTACAGCACTAGTAATAAAAATAATACGTATATAGTTAGGCATGTGTCATATCATACGTTTCATTCAAAATCTCCCATAACAGCAGGAATATACTTTTTTAATTTATTACCTCCGGAGATCAAAAACGTAAACTCCGTAGGGCTTTTCAAAAGACGTTTGCGGAACAAGCTATCGGACTGCGGTTTTTATGACCTAGGTGAATTTGTCACATTCCACAGTGCTTCTGATAGATCTTAACAAATAATTTATTGCCATGTGTGCATCATATGGTTTTTTTTATGTTCTTATTTATTATATTGTTATTTGTATTTTACTTCCTTTTATCTATATTTTAATCTGTATACACCGACTTATCCAATGTCTACAATGTAGATCTAACTGGATCAATAAATGAATCTGAATCTGAATCTGAGCTCCTGCTAAAAGTATGCTCCTCTATGCATGAGATATCCCATTAATGTTATGTTACAAACTTGTAACCTACCATAAAATTGTTGGGGAATGTTATAAGTACATATATTGTGTATGCAATCTATGTAAACTACACGAATATGCAGCCATAAATGGTAAGGTCATTATCTGGGTCATATTTGACTTAATTGATTTACTGCGTTTTTGATATCCTTAAACTTTGCTGGTGGATTTGATTGAATAGTGTTGGAGAGAAATCAACATTTGTTTTTTAAGTTGCGGATTGCATGTGCTGTTAAAGGGCAAAAATGATTTCATTAGACATTTTTTGTTGTGGAAAATACATAAGAATCATAATTCATCATCAAATACAGGAAAATCTACATATTGATGATAGGGATATGTGTTATTTATTAATACAGCTTCCAAAAAAAATTAGTTATTGGAGGAATTGCCAGAAATGGAGATTTTTAAAATGGTTAAATCAAAAAAAATTCAAATTCAAAATATTTATTTCGTCATGAATAAACATCATAAACAAAAGAAATTCTACATATAGAGCAATGACGAAAAAGGACAGTCTCTCGATTATAAAACCGATACATTGGATCCTTTAATACAAAGAGTCCATGCGAGAAAGCCCTGAACACCCTAAAAGTCGTTAAACAAAATAAAAAAAACAATAAAGAGGCAAATGAAGAGGTGGTGAAACACAAAAAGGCAAAAACGAAGAAAGAACCCCCGGGAGCTGGCAACGGACGCGAAGAACAAATCTATACAACCTGTCAGCGAGTAGGAATGTAAAAACGATATTTTTGCTCACACAAACGCTGCTAAAGTAGCTGGTGATTCTGTAACAACGTTTTTGTCAGTTTTGAGAATGTTTTTGACGATGAGCTTTTAACTGAAGTTCGTAAATTATTCCATAAGTGAACCGCCACATAGGCAAACGATCGTCGGAAGGAACGCGTTCTATACCTAGGTACGATACAATTGAGATTATTTCTGCTTCTCTGGGGACTAAGCAAAGGCACTTAAATAGGGCGGTTCACCTGTTTTTATAACCCTATAGATAAAATGTGATATTTTCTGCGATTCGTCATGTTTAATATTTTGTAGTTATTCAGATAAGGAGTGATATGGTTTCGATATGGAATTCCAAACGCAAATCTCATGCAACTATTTTGAACTTTTTGTATGCATTTTTTGGTTCGCGACGATAGCGAATCACCATATACGACATCTCCATAGTCAAAAAGTGACAAAATTAAGGTATTACACAAATAATATTTTTGTTTGGCTGATAAATGTCTTTTTAATTTGTTTATATTTTTTTGTCGCATGTAAGCTAATTTTTTTCTGTTTTTTATATGACTGCCGAAGCCAAGCGAGCTATAAAATATAGTGCCTAGATTTTTTGTCTCCTGAACTATGGGGATTCTGTCATTGTTAATAGAAATTACTAAATTTTGTTCAAAATGTTCTCTTTCAGTACTGTTTTTATTCATAACCATTACTTGCGATTTTGAGGGGTTTAGTTTAAGATTGTGATGCTTTGCAAATCTGACAATTCTTTGGAGATCTGAATTTAGTTGTTGTTGTGCAATATGGATTGTGATTTTATTGACAGGGAGATATATTTGTGAGTCATCTGCATATTGTTTTATCTTTGCGAATTTTACCGATTTGACCATGTCAGATATGTAGATTGAAAATATCAAAGGAGATAAAATTTAACCTTGAGAAACTCCTCTTTTTATAGGTTAAAAATCGGTTTTGTAAATAGCAGAATCATTTGCTAACATAACACAGTTTGAACGGTTGCTTAAGTATGTTTTTATTAGATTTACGGAGTTCTGCGAAAACCCCTGGTAATGTCGAACGCTCTACTAAAATCGAGGAGAACCCTGCACGTACTATTTTTTTGTTCTTGATGATGTCTGATGTCATCCAAGATATTAACTAAAGTTTTTTTTCCTAAAACCGGATTGACTATCGGGTATGATATCGTTTGTGTCACAAAAAAATCCAATTTGATTATAAATATGCCTTTCTAAAATTTTTGATGTAGCGGGTAATATGCTAATAGGCCTCAAGTCTGTAAATTCTTTAGGTTCTGCTATTTTTGTTAATTGTTTAACAATAGCTTTCTTCCATATTTCTGGAAATAATCCCCCCAAAATACATGTGTTGATTATATTCAGCAAGGCATAACAGTTGGAAGCTAAGAGAATCGTTAATGTTTACATTGTTTTTGTAAAAATTGATTAATTCTTGGGAAGCAGTGTCTGGTAAATTGTCGGTCTGCTGGAAGTAATTGTGTATGTCATTTACATTTTGTAAGTGTTCGAGTATAGTTGAGTGAGTTTTCTTGCATGTTATGTTGAGCTTTTTGGTAGTGTCCCAAAATTTCTTACCTTTCTTTGTTGAGAGTAAGTTAAAGAATGTATTTTTTTCTCGGATAATTGCATGCTTTGTATAGTTCCTTAGTTGTTTATAATATTCAAAATGAGCTTGTGATTTTGATTTTTGAAATTTTTTATGAGCTTTATTTCTTAGTCTGATTAAAATTCTTATATTTTGAGTTATCCAGGGTACATAAGGTTTTTCGGTTATTTGTTTTGTTTTTATCGGAGCATGTTTATTCAGAACTACTATATTTTTATTAAAGACTATTATATTTTTTGGTCGATTTGGTTTATATAGTAAATATCCTCCCACCCAAGTAGAAACCCTTCATTTAAGAAGGATTCTCTATCTATATTATTGTAGTCTCTATATTTAATAGTCTTTTGTGATTTATTTATTTTTGACTTTCGAAAGGCTGAATAAATTAAGTTATGATCTGAGAGATTTTGAGAAATTGCCAATGAGTTAGAATCAATAGAGATAAGATCCTCACTAGCACAGATTATATCAATGAGGCTAGCCTCTCTTGTGGCAAAATTGAACCTTGTTGGCTCACTGATCCTTTGTGATAAGTTAAAACTATGAATTATATTTTTGAGGCGATTTGTGTATGCAGAATTATTTAAAATGTTAATATTTAGATCTCCTATCAGTAATAAATAATCATATTTGAGACTGACAAAACCGAGAAAATTTTCTAAGGTGTCTAAAAAATAAGTGACACTCTCAGATGGTGAACGATAACTATTAACTAAAAGATAGGTTTTTCCACCTATCTTAAATTCTATACCTATGGTTTCTGCACAGTTAATTTCCACATTTACCCTTGAATATTTCAACCCGCTTTTTATGTATAAAGCTACCCCTCCTCCTCGACCCTGCCTATCATTCCTTATAAATTTGTA